ATATTTAGAAACAAATAATTCAAATACAACATAACAGGATTAAAAACCCCAACTGGCAGAAGGCAACCAGTTGGCTATTTACAAGCGTGGCCGAGAATTTGAACTCGGGACGACCGAGCACAAATCCAGCAGGTGGCCAGAGCGGGACTCGAACCCGGGACCGCCGGATTGCGAGTCCGACGCGCTGACCACTCGGCCACGCTGCCTCCTGGAAATAATCAACCATCAAATAATAATCAACCATCAAATGGCATATGTGTGTGAAACTGACAAGATGGCATATATTCATATTGTAGTCACTTTAATTTAGCAATGATTTAAATTTAGTGACACTTAATTTTGGTGCATTTTAATTTTTTAAAGTGTTGCCAAAATTCATTAAATAAGGTATATCCTTATCTTTAATATTTAATCAATTTAATTGCCAATAGCACAGGCTCATGTGGTAGCATGGTAACAATATGGCCAGTAGAAGACCAATAACTTTTAACTGTGGCCTTCAACAATAGACAAACAGGTAGCCTGGTCAACAAAGGTATTCCTTAGCAAAAACGAATCTGACTTGTAGGAATCAACAAACACAGGTTAAAGGTTGTATGTTGTACTATGGGACTTCCTAGAACAGGAGGTAATTTTTCTCTTCGAAGAGACAATATTATTTTTATTCACTAGGAAAGGGCAAAGTGACTAAATTATACAGGATCTTAGAAAAAAAGTAAGAGATCAATTAGGTGTTCTTTGTTCTTGCAGTGATAATAGACCAAGTGATAATAGACCAATTCAAAGTTGTGGGCTTAGTACCCCTGCCTTCGAATGAATGTAAGGCTGTGGTTGACCTTGTTTTAACACAAACCTCTTTTGTTTTCTTGTGGAAATGTATGCTAGGGAAATATTAGTAAGCATAAGGACAACATGATTTACATGTACACAACAAAGCTGCAAGGGTTGTATCAACTCCAGGACCATTTCCATAACTGTAAAATGGGCTTAGGAAGACACACTTGAATGGATCTGTAATAGTTGTTACACACAAATCTGGCTGCTTGCCATTGAACCGACTCAACAGTCGCAAATCCCCTTCGTGGTAAGTGGATTGAATGAATCTGTCTACACTCTGACCTCTTTTAGGCTTGGAATTTGTTCCAGTGCTTGTCCATTCAAGTTGATTTCAAATACTTGTCGACAGTCAGATTCATTACATCTGTCAAGCTGAAAATGATGAAAGAGAATGGGAAAGTGAATGACCGAAAAAAATCCGATTACTATAACGCCTTAATATTTTTTTCCCAACACAGTTACTCTTGGCAGTTGCAGATTTTCTCCACTTTCTGTTTTACTAAAAAACTAGAAAAAAAAAGATGCTCTCAGCTGTTGTAGCTTGTTGTATTAAAACTAATGAAAAACAAAGTTTTTTATACTTACGATCTCTTGTACGCTTAAGTTTACAGTCCTCCCTTCGCTCGGTGAAGACTGCACACGTTTTTCTTCTTGCCTTTTCTTGCTAGTTTTTTTCGAAGAAGCCGATGCAGACTTTGGTTTTGATTTGTCGACACTTTCGGAGAAGAATGGTTTCTGCTGATTGTGTGATGGCCTGGTAGACAACATCAAGACTGAGCGGCATGGATATACTCCTATGATCTATCAGTGCTGTTAGACCGTGAATAACATCGTAGCTTGGAAAACATTTTTAGTAAAAAAGAAAAAATTATTTCCTCAAATTGCAAACTGACAGTTTCGGACGCCATCTTGGTCAATAAATCCCATAATCCAATGGGTTTACTTCCCGCAATGCACTGCTTTAATTTTGCCGCCTTGGTTTGAAGATGGCGGGATAAGTGACATGAGACAATCGAGTGTGTCTGTGTTGGCTTCGACTGTTTTACTCAATTTTATCGATAATTTGAAGTGTTTGATGGCCTATTATAACGTAAGAACAACTAAAGAGACAGGATCTTGAACTAAAAGCGGGAGATATCTGGCAGCGGAGGCTATGGCACTTTGTACCTTTGGCCTCCATGGTTGTCTCCTTTGTCGTCTCAAGTGTATGGTGTTGTTCTAGACTAAACCTTCAGGCGAAAAGAAAACTGTTTTTATTTAGAAGAATAGCTTGGCAGAGAGGATTAGCTATGCGACCACTGCGCATATTGAATGTTGCTGAGAAAAATGATGCAGCGAAGGAGCTGTCCAGAATCATGTCTAGAGGACAGAGCTCGCGGGTAGGTATGGGTAGGTAAAACGGGGTCCTGGATGGGGGGTGGGTGGGGAGTTACTACTTCTGTGGGTATGTGTCGCGCGACAGGTTCATAATTTTGGGGACTTTTGATCTACACTCTTTTTTTCTATAAGAATATATTTTATAAGAAATAGAATCTGAAATTTACAAAATTTAAAGAATAAACCCCAGATGAAGATTTTGTGTGTTTGAAAACTGTAAATACAATACAGCTATGTGTTTTCAACTTATTCCATTCTCTAAATGGCAAAACTTGCCAACAAAATGAGAAAACCTGCACTAACTGTAATTGATGCCCCAACATATTCTAAAACAGAAATGACATAAGCTATAATTTAATGATAATACTGGAATATTTTTTGTCTAAAATTGGCAGAAAAATAAGAATATTCAGCCTGTGCCGGAAAAACAATATTCTTATACAAAAAAAAGAGTGTAGACCAGAGAAGCTTTCTAGAATGGGGTATGATATTCCAAATGTACATTGCGCATGGAGGCTTCAGTTTATCAGCAGCCATTTGAAATTAATAATTATTGTATTCACGAAAAAATTACTTAACATAATGTGTGGAATTCAGCGTACAAAGAAAGTACTGTCCGATAGGCCGGGGCTAGTGGATTTTGCTATCGGGCTAGTGAATTCTGTTTTTAACTTGCCCGATGGGCAAGTGATGTTTTATGAGGAATTTGAATAACAGAAGAACAAAATGGTTTTGGGGCTAGTTGAAATGACGTCTGGGCTAGTAAATGCTACCTTCAGCTTGCCCGAATGGCAAGCTGTAAATATGATTTTCTTTGCACCCTGGAATTTCAAGAACTGTTATCGTAGTTTTTGGTATCATTTTGAGTGGATGTTTTATAACACAGAGTCCAAATTTGAACACCCAGGCAGCACATACCCACCCAAAACATACCTGAGTACCCCCACCCCCCAGGGACAGAGTAGGATGGGAGAAGGGTTACAGGAATCATCTCTATCATAAGACACCAGAAATACATGTACTGAGAAGTTTATAATAACACCATTAACTTATCCACCACACAATAAGGCAGTATCTTATTTTCCGGCCAACTGGGCGGAGTAAAGTTAAACTTTGGCAGGTATAAGGTCACTGCAAATAGGCACAGCTTATAAAATTCCAGATTGTTTTAGAAGTGCCATCCATTGGATAACCTGTACTAATGCAAGATGATTAGATAAGTGTTTCTTACTTTGGCTGAAAACCTACTGTGATTACCAGCAAAACTGGTTTTAACCAGTTTTTAAAGAAGTCAAATTTAGTAATATGTTAGCTAAACATGTATGTTCAAGGGTGCAATTTTGTTATAACCTTTACTTACCTAAAATTTGGTTTTGATTACTGAGTTGATGAAATCACTGTGCCGCAGTGAAAAGATTGAAAAGTTGCTGTTTCGAGTTTGCTGTTTTTTACAGCTTGTGTGCCCATGCTGTAGTTTACAAATTAACTGCAAGAAACTGTGTTGAATAATTGATGCTGTTGTTTTTGGCTTTGATTTCTTTGCAGAGAGAAGGGTTCTCAAAGTTTAACAAGATTTATGAGTTTGACTACAACATTTTAGGAAGTGTGAGTATTTGAAATGCATCTCTTTTCTTAGTTAATCACCTTTTAGAAACCTTTACACTTCATATATTAATTTTTTTATTCTCAATAATTACATATATACTTGTATGTATTGTACATTATAAGCATAAAAATTTCGTGTCTCTTGTGGTTTCACTAATAACAGAATGCCATAATGGTGATGACTTCTTTGTCTGGACATATGATGACGTTGGACTTTACAGCCAGTCACCAAAAATGGTATGGCAAAAGACTGAGACAAGGCTGTAACTCATTGTTTGCAATTATGCAGCATAGTTTACATAGTTATACATTGTAAAATGGCAGGGTATCTTTTGGGGGAAACATTGTGGTTTCCATTCAGTGAAGTGGTTTGCTCATTACTTTCCTGCAGTACTTTACCTGTTTAGTTCTATATTGAACCTTGATATGAGCTGAGGGATGGTCTTAGCGGTAGACCAATAGTCCTCCCAACCCAAGTCTCTCATCACTGAAATTAACTACAACCCTGGTCAAAACTCTCGGGACACTAATGCAATAGGTCATCAAATTAAGGCATCTTCACTTCCCCCTTCACCCCCAGTGCAGTGTTGAAGTTATGCATTCAAGTTGATTTCAACACCATCAACACTGCTTGGGTGAGAGGGGGACAGCAGAAATACCCCCTTATAACAACATCCCCAAGATTTTTTAAGAGGTATAATATGAGTTAACTCAGCAAAGTGCGTCTTTGTGCCTAATTTCGTCAAGTGTCCCAAGATGTTTTGACTAGGGTTGTACAGGCAATTATAAGTTTTAATCATATCTATTTCAAGGAATTCTGGTTATTTTTCAGTTTTCCACTGTTGTTAATTCCTACAGGCATAGTTGTTCCCCAGTAGCACTGTTCAGTGCACCTGTTAAAAAGTTTGTTGGAGAAAACTTTCTTCCAATTAAAGTAAGAGCTTAAAATAATAATATATGTGTGTCAAGATTCAGCAATTACAGGGCTGTGCTCAAGCAGAGCTCTCGCTCTACAAGCTCAGTACCCTAGATTTTACAGGCTGAGAGCGCTAGGTCCACTTCAATTTCCTTAGTGCACGCCTTTGATTTAGCATGATTTGCCTGCTAAATTCTAGACAGTACATGTTACTTATCTGAATAAGTTGCATTGCTAATACATTAAAATTCAGCCATGTTTACACCTTTAATAATGTCTTTTGAATTAGAAATAAGGCAATAATATTGTGTATATTATATAAAACTAATTAAGCTTTGATTCCAAATAATTATTGTTTTACAGAGGACTTTGGAAAGAGAAGTGCGTGGCTGTGGAGTCTTAATTATCTGGACTGATTGTGATAGAGAAGGAGAAAACATAGGATTTGAAGTCATTGATGTGTGCAAAAATAGTATGTTATTTATGACAGCATTGTTTCTCCCTTATTTTAACATGCTTGCAAAAAACTATTACTATATTTGACAGAATTAATAGTCTGAAAGGGTGCTTAGTTTTAAACATACTGAAACTTAAATGTGTTAATCAAAAATAAAAGGTATTGAACTTTATGTTGATTATTAAACTAATGCTTCTGTTTTCCTTTTTCTTTAAGTCCGTCCAAACATAAGGATTTATCGTGCAAAGTTTTCTGAAATCACCAATCAGTAAGTAGAAAATTCAGTATTGTCATTTAAAAAGCTGTGAAAATCATTTCAAAACCTTTACTTTTTTCTTAAAGGCAGCTCAAAGTTGCCATAGAAAACTGCTGGCATGCTAACTGTGTACAGGTAAAACTGTACTATTTTCAGAGAAAGCATGGTAGAGTGGTTAGAGTGCTAGACTTGCAATCCAGAAGTCCTGAGCCGTGACCTCTTGTTGGATAGGTTTCTTGGTAGCCCCAAGTTCAAATCCTTGACTATGCTTGTAAATAGGCAACTAGTTTGACTCCAGCCAGGTGGGATTCTTAGCCCTGTTGTGTTGTATACATTACTAACATTATTATTTATTTTAGTCATTGATTTGCTCAGCCCGACTTGCTGTTCTGCTCTAATTGGTGTAGATGGTAACTAAAGGAAATTCATGTTTCATTTGTTATTTCAGATCAGTTACAAGAGCTGTACAAAATTTAGTTGAGCCTGATGTGTTGCAGGCACAAGCAGTGGATGTTAGGATGGAGCTTGATCTTAGAATAGGTATGTTACAGGTCAACATTAAATTCAAGGGTAAAATTTTTTAGCCTAGATTGATTCTCAGTTTCCTTTGTCTCCTAGCCCTGATTATTTGTGAATTAGGGCTAGGCAACAAAGGAAATTGACAATCAACCTACATGTAGGTTAATAAAACATTTTGACCAGTGTAACAGGTATATCCTAGATTTTGCTCGTACTTTCATCTGTGCCTTTCAATAATTCACATAATATTCAATTTACAGTTCAACCTCTACAATGGCCGTTTCTTTCTCACAGAATCCATCCTTTGTAATAAGGCTCCCAAGATAGTTAAAGTACATTTCTTGACTTAATTGTTTACCATCAAGAAAGATCTTGAATTCCTCACCAGGCCTCTTACTGATTTTCATGCACATCCTGGCAATTATCATATGACCTATACAGCCTGCGTGCACTTTTCCATAAGGCTGTATGAGGGCCATATGCATCAAGTTATAGTGCCAGAAAAACACATATGGCCAAGCTAGTAGAAAAATGCACGCGAATAGAGGCAAAAAGGGGTGCCACTCTGATATGTTTTAGCTCTGTCAGAAAAATTAATTATTGGCTGAGTTAGGTCAGGCAAGACGGGAAAACCTTTGGCCCTCAGTCAGAATGCACGGACCTCAAGCCAAATATTTTCCTGCCCGGCCCTCCCACTTTAAATAGTCAATATGCGCATATTACTTTAATTCTTTTCTTGTTGGGTAGGTGCTGCATTTACTCGGTTTCAAACCTTAAGGCTGCAGAAAGTTTTTCCCGACGTTTTGAGTGAAAACCTTATAAGTTATGGTAAGTATTTTCAATGATAACAAAACTTTAATTGTTACATTTTGTAGAAAATAGGGCAGCCTTTTTTTCATTTTTAATGAGATACTACGTTTACTCTGCTTGTTAATATGTAGAGTGCTACAAACTACCCTTATCTGACAGACATTTATTGATCTCTTGTTTTAGGCAGCTGCCAATTTCCTACTTTAGGTTTTGTTGTTGAAAGAGTAAGTGATTAGTTTGCATTAAATAGTCTTGTATATCCTAGTACATTAAAATGAATCATAAGTCAAAATGATTGCAGACTAGTTCAGGTCTGTCACTATTAGGGCTGGCTAATTAAACTATGTTGTGTGTCTTTTTCCCTAAGTATAAACAGGTGCAGCAGTTTGTGCCAGAGACATTCTACAAAATTAAAGGTGGGTATAGTGGTCCTTCGAATCCCGCATAGTGTGGTGCAAATAAATTATTTATTTTTCAGCCAATTCATTTTTTGATCATTACTAGCATTACTGACCATAGAAGAAATTTGTTTGTGCAATTTTCTTGAAATTCATCAAATTGTTAATTGTCTAATAATTACTTTTGAGTGGACAGGATAGTAATAAAATCAGTTTTCTTTTAGTTACTCATCAAGTAGAAGACACAAAAGTGGATTTTACCTGGAGAAGGTAGTTTTTTTTGTCATGTCAAAGTTACACGTAACATTACTTTAAACTACTTAAGGAGGTTCTGACTATATTAGCATTTTGTATTCCTAAATTTTAACATTGATTTGAATGGATTGGAATGCTCTTGCTTTTGTGATTTGCATTTCACCCTTGTGACAATTCATGATCCTAGGGGAAGACTGTTCCACCGTTTGCCGTGCCTTGTCCTCTATCAAATTTGTTTGGAGGTGAGATATTACATAGTATGATCATGCCTCAGTAGAACCCAAAATAAATGGGTAGAAGTATTCTTAACTTGTGTAAGGAATGTCAAGTAGTAGTGTATAACTCAGTATGTTCAAGGGTTGAAAAAAAACTTGAATTCAGGCTTTTCCTTTAGGCAGCTCAGCTCCCGCATTTTGCTTCCCAGCGTAACTTCTTGCTTCTCTGGGTAAAATGATTTTGTTAGAGGATGACTTACCTCGAGCTTTTCCCATTGGGCAAGTATCTTTAAGAATTACTTGACTACTGGACAAGACTTTTTTCTAGCCCTGATGTTGTTATGCACTCTTGCATGCAACTGTAAGTACACAGTCCATGATATGTTCGCTCTGTTTGTGCTGACTTGACATTGTGGCGTCAATGTTGTCAAAAATTAGTAATAGTCTATTTCACTTCTCTTTATTCGATTTTAAGTGATGAGCTTTCATTTGATACTGGTGTTAAGCATGTAAGCCTTTCTAAGGGATGTCACTAAGATTTCAAGTTGCTGGGTAAATACAACAAGTAGGCAGGGAATAAGACAGCTAGGGATTTCCTTCAGTGCTATGTTTCTTCTTTTATTTTTCTTACGAAAGTAGCCGGGGGCCACATTTATAGTAGCCAGAGGAAATCCACAGCCCCCGTCTCTTAATGACAGCCCTGCTTTCTTCATGTGAGAATAGCCATCACATGTCTAGAATATTTCTCTTTTATTAAAGAGTTTTACCCCACTTCTCGATGCTGTCTAATAATAGAAGTTTTCTAGGCCTCAAGTTTGCCATGTCATGTCAGTGTCAATCTTTTTAATGATTTTTTTGTCTTGTTTCTTATTCAATAAGGATCCCACAGCAAAAGTTCTGAGTACTTCATCTCATCCCAAGAGCAAATGGAGGCCATTACCATTGGACACAGTGGTAGGTGCATTGAGATCTCTCTTGAACTTATATGAAGATGCATGTTGCATTTTAATAAATTAAAATAAATTAAAACATTCTTTATATTAAAGGAACTTGAAAAACTGGCATCACGTAAGCTTAAAATCAATGCTAAGGAGACAATGAAAATAGCAGAAAAACTCTACAATCAGGGGTAAGTACATTGCTCATTTCACTGCCTTAATGATTGTTAATTTGTTGGTAGTGTTGATAGTGTTGTTTTTAAAACATTTACTATAAAAGCTAAAAAATGAAGCAGATCTATATGCTTATTGTTTCAGGTTCATCAGTTATCCACGCACAGAAACCAACATGTTTCCCAAGTCTTTAGATCTGAGGCCTCTTATTCAAAATCAAACTGTTGATGCTAACTGGGGAGGTAAGTTCAAGATTGTTTAATATCGAGCAACTCAGGGGCCATCAAAATACTGTAAGGTTGACCCAATAGTGACCTACACTATAGCATCCCATACAAAAGGAGTAGTAATATTCCTACAAAAGGTGTATCATACTACACCTAACTGAGTTAATCTTTGGCCATGGGCATTTCTACCTCATTGGTGGGCTTTTTCTAGGTTAACTAATAGTTGTTGTTCCAAGACTCTTTTTAAAGAAAGTGACTTTTGAAGGAAGACAAGCAAGAAACTAGAGTGCTCTTTGTTAAAACTGCTTCCTAAATGTAATTGTTATCATTGTCTTGTTACTTTTGTAGAATTTGCTGCTGGGGTGCTAGAGAGAGGCCCCAATCCTCGCCGTGGAAACAAAACAGACAATGCCCATCCTCCAATCCACCCCACAAAGTACACAGATGGCTTACAGGTAGCTGCTACAGTATCATATTTCTTTTTTATTGTGATTTTTTTTTTTAAATCGTAGACAAAAGAGAACATAATAACAGTCTGTGAGAGTTAGGAAAATCCTGAGTCAACAATAGTGTTTCTTGAACTTCTTTGTGAATAGAGAGTAAAAGAATAATCAGTACTGTAAATGTGTGCAAATTGGTAAAATTTTGATCTGAATAATTCGTGTATGCATCAATATTTTTTATTAATCAATAAATATTCAAACACTGTTTCATCAGTTTATAATTTAATAGAAGTCCAAGGCAAAGAAAGATAAAGTGATTTCAATCAACGCTGAAGCTGGTTGTTTGTCACACGTGGTGTAAAGCAATGTGTTTTGTACGTAAGTTTTTCAAAAAAGTAATTTACAGAACTAAAACTTAACAAAACTTTATTTTTCAGGGCAATGAAAAAAGGCTGTATGAATTCATAGTAAGACATTTTTTAGCCTGCTGTTCTGAGGTGAGCAGTCTTGGTTTCCTTACTGCACCAAAATGATGACATATGTTTTTTTTTTATCTTCCTGCTGCTGTTCCCAGCTTCTCTATGAGATTATAATAGCATCGTGTTTTTATTTATAGGATGCGAAGGGGCAGGAGACTAATGTGGAAATAGAGATTGCTGGAGAAAAGGTACACAACCCACATATAACTTACAGCTCTGATAGAACTGGAATATGTTATTATTCACAAAAACTTTATTCTTATAAACTCTTATGAGTTTGGCACCAGATCAAGGAGCTTTGAATTATTTGAAAAGTTCTTTACAAGAATGGGGTATGTGCCTTCTTTGGTTATTTGTTTTTAAAGCAATTTCCAAATTTGGATAACAAACACAGCTTTACAAAGTTTCAACAGGCTACAAGAAAGTGTTCTGGGCACCTTACATATGATGCTGGAATCACTCCTGGATTTATTAAGATCACAATCTACAACCAATTAATTTAAGGGAATTGTTTGGAGGGTTTGCTGTTCAAGCTTAAAATTAAAAAAAAAATAATGTTTCTAAGTATGATCATCTTCTAGTTTACAGCTAAAGGATTGATGATTACTGCAAGGAACTATCTTGATGTGTATCCATATGACAACTGGAATGCAAAGGTAATATATCTCATGGAGCTAATATTTACAGGGCTGTCACGAAAAGATTTCAAGTTCCCGGGTAAATACAACAAGTAGGCGGGGAAGCAGACAGCTAGGGATTTCTTTTTATGTTATTTTTCTTCCATTTTCCTGTGAAAGTAGCCCGGGGCCCCGTTCTTAGTAACTGGGGGAAATCCCCAGCCCCCGCCTCTTAATGACAGCTCTGGTTTACCCCAAAATTTATTACTCTGTGGTGCTCAGAACTTTCTCTTGCATTCAACCAAAAGTGTGAAAGGTAATAAGGGTAATGTATTTTAAGAAAGATTTTTTTCAACAGAAGGTTTTCACTTTACAGTAAGGATTATTTTACAACGTAGTCCACACCTTGTTTTAAACCTGTAGAAGTTCCTGCAGGGTTCAAAAATCATTTGAATCCCAGCACATCCTTGACGCAAGTACCTCTTACATTTTTCTTGCCATTCCAACTACTTGCTTGTCTAAGTTAATGACTAAAAATATATATATATATGTTTTTAATACATGTATTTGTTATTTTGAAGTGTTTATATGGCATTATATTATGCATAAATAGTTTATGCTTTATTTCTTTTGCTTGTCTTGTTTTAGACAATCCCAGTGTATAATCAAGGTGAAGAATTTCAACCAAGCTCCATTGAGGTTGGTAAACAAAGTGCCAGTTTCTCTCATTAGTTGTATCAGATTGGTTAGTGTACCAGGTCCAATGTACCGGCAGGTGTGTATGTTGTTCAAGTCAAATCACTGACTTCATTTTTTTTCCTTTTTTGTAAAGAGGGAGGGGCTGGTTATGTATGATAATGAGTTAAAATAGGAAAATAGAATTTAAACCAAGGAAAAAACTGACCCACAACATGTTTAATAACTATACATGTACATCATTAGGACACAATATTGTCAAAATAATTATTATTTTGACAATATTGTGTCCTAATGATGTTTAAATACCGGTGGTCATTTTTCTAAACAGCATGTTGTAATCACCGGAGATTGTTATCTAAATATCTGTCAATGATAATATAATGTGCGGCAAAACTAGTATTGTCACAGATAGAAACTAATACAATGTACTTCAGCCACTATGTCTTTGGAAGAAAGAAGGCTTCAAAGTGCTTTTTAGAGTGTCTACTATTGATAAATGTTTGATTTTCAAATAAAGCTATTATGTCTCATCAGATGGTGGATGGGGAAACCAAGCCACCTCCACTGTTGACTGAAGCTGACTTGATTGGCTTGATGGAAAAGCATGGGATAGGTAGGAAGAAAAACAACAAAATTGAAGTCACTGTTTAAAGTAATTTGCCAGGTGACATACAGTAAAAATCTGAAACTAAAAAACTGGTTTTTAAGAACTTGTTGGGCTAAAATTTTTCAGTCAGGTCCCCTTTAGACTATTTAGGTTCTTATTTTCTAAAATCTATAACAAAATTTTTTACACTTGGGCAAAAGGACTTCAAAATTCATGTGGTCAGTGCTTCATTCCTTCTTCTCGTAGACATTTTAACATAAATTCTCAGTTGGTATGAAGATTGTTTATAAGAAATGATCTGAATACCACTAAATGCTCATAGCCACCATGTTTTTTTTCTTCAGACAATAATAACCTATTTAAGTAAGCCTAAATTTATACTAATTCCCATTACTATGTACGAACCTGTTTAGGCTAACTTGGGAGAATGCAGGTTTTAGGTCGTCTGTTTTTACTGTGTATGAAAAGCTGAATCATAGTATTTTTTACCTCAGGGACAGATGCTACACATGCAGAGCACATTGAGACCATAAAGAACAGGTGTTATGTGGGAGTACAACAGGATGGGACCTTCCTTCCAGGCCAGCTTGGAATGGGACTTGTTGAAGGTAATGCACCTATCAATGTTATGCTGGCAGGGGGGTGGGGGGGGGGG